TTACGTTATTTGTATGCAGCTCGTAAGGGTCATTTCAAGGTCATGCCGTCTATGCCACATAATACATCTTTTCATACCATAAAAATTATGTCTAAGACATTTTGTCGAAAAATGAATAGTTTCGGAAATAATTGTTTGCTTCCATACTTTTTCCCCACCCTGTATATGTGGTATCACGATCCAGGAAAATCATTTTCCAGTACTGATAAAACATTTTTATCATATAGGGCATACGTATAGATAATATGTACTTTGAAAACAAAACATTCTATTATCTACCATCACACTGTTATCATGTGCTCTGGAGTTTGCGTATATTGCATTGCATCTTGTGACTTTTTTAATTGTATTTATTCTTGAATTTAATTTATTCGTATGTGACACCTTCTTTTTTCGTTACTGAGCGGATAAAAGAAAGATATCATCTTGATGCTATAATTTGTTTGACTTTATTTGGATGTACTATGATTCTTTCTGACTACTTTGCATCATGTACTTTACATCATGCGTTTCTTATTGTTAGCGACATTCTTTAATTTAATGTTTATCATGTGATAATGTTTATATAGACTGAAGAGGACTTCTGTATGAGTCGAAACGTTTCGAATATTAAATATTATATTGAAATAACTTTACATTAATAAAATTAGTCATCTTTTAAAGCTTGTATATTACCGTTTAATCCTTTGTTTAAAACAGTTTAGGACATTCATTCATAAAATTTTGTTTTCCTAAAATAGCAAAGAAATATCCTTTTTAATTTTTTGCACTTACTTAGGAATCACTCTATATATCGACATAAATTGATATAAAGCGCAAAATTTCAGAAGATATACTTATTTATAGATTTAAGTAAAAGGTTATTTATTTTTTCATATAACAATATCTCGTAGATATATCCCAGTTTCTTCGTTTTTTTATCTTGAAATATTGAACTCGAGAAAAATTTATCTAAGCTGACTGACGTTTTGTGAGTAACAGCCGTTCAAGGCAGATCATTAAGCGAAGCATTTTTGTCTGTTCTACGGAATTCAGAGTATCGTCCAAAGTACCTCAAAAAGACCGCCCTTTTTGTGGCAACCGCTTTTTCGTGGAAACTTCATCTCTTCTCAGACGGTATGAGACGATAAATCCACCGGTAGTTCAGCGGCTCGCGGCTAATTAAACCAGATCAAAGGCACTCAAGTGCTCGTTAAGTCATTCCCGTTTTTCCTCCCCGTCCCAAGTAGCGCGACAACCGTTCTCCGCATCGCCAAGGTGCAGTATTGCGATTGTCGTGGCGATATGATCGCGTGCATAAGAGACCGTGTTACGAGTTTCTGCAAGTAAGAGCAAAACGCATAGCCTTGTTGCATCGAGGTCAAGCTTTGTTCCTCGAAGATGAACAGGCATATGGGAGTAATTCATGCACGTGAGAAATGCAATAAAAATTGCAACGTGATTTTTAAGTAGACTTTAATAGATCCTTAAATGTAAATAATGTATTAATATTGCCAGTTGAAACTCACGAATAAAATTATTTTAAGCGGCTCCTAGATGCTCAATATACAATTATATTGTACAATATTACTCTTTAAACAATTTAAAGTAAATATAACGTAGAGCGTACACTTGAGCGTACTCAATATAGTGTCCAGACAATCATTAATATTATGCAATATCAAATACTCCGATGAATAATTAGCAATTTAACTGAAGCAATAATATTAACTGTTTGTGAGGACCGCCTTAAAAATTACTATTAAACTAAAACAATTTTATATAATAACTTTAAGTCTAGTTTTTTAGTTTATTAGGCAATATGAACAGTATAAAAAAATTGAACGAAAATGTATCAGCTATTTTCTCAAACAAAGAGGTAGATACTTGTTTTTTCGGATGAAACATACTTATTTAGTGAACCGATGGTGAAACTATTGTTCACGAGCCTCATTCAAAATCTCTTTGAAATAGGATACGAAGTAGGCTTCACGCGAGAACGGGATAACACAAAAGCTGTTTTCCGGCTTAGGTATATCGAACCGATCGATATACGGGTGGGTCGAGAGCCGGTAACGCACGCCATAGAATTGGCGTACCGCCCTATGGGGTGCCATCGACCCCGGGGTTCTGTCTGCGTAAACGAAACCTCGCATATATCCCCAGCATCCCCCTTCGCGAGTCACCCCCGTGGGGTGAAAATACTCCTCCTGCTCGATCGTGAATCCCTAATACCTCTCACCCCCAAGATTCTCTTATGGTGCGAGCTATTACTTATTAAAACATTGGCGAGATCGCGTAGTCGAACGATGCTCCAGGTCCGCGGGACTCCTAGCTATTCCTGCGGGCTTGGTAGTTGAATCGTACGACTGTTGCATCGTGATTACTGCGAAAAGTATGAATGACAGCTGAGCGGAATGCTGGGGCTGCAACCCCTGCCATCGCCAGTCTCATGCAGGATCTGCATCACAATCCTGTTTTTTTAAGCGCACCGTGTATCTACATTTAATCTTGTGATAGTTTTAATATAGTATTCAATAATTTCAATTTTTTAATTTTACAAAGAATGTTTCCTTTATACTCGTTAGAAAATTTAATTAAATCTGCAATTATATCTTTTATATTAAATACATAAATATTTATGTGTTAAAAAAAATAATTATATTTATTTTTATGTTAAAAATAATTTATGTTCATATATTCATGATTATATTTATGTTTGTATTCATAATTATATTTATATTTATATTCATAATTATATTTATATATATATATATATATATCTTTATCTTAAATAATTAACGCGTGATAAAAGACTGTGTGTCTCTTTTACACGGCACGTTCAAGTGCTTTTATGAGTAAAGTTGCTAGTAAAACTGGTTTTCGCGTTTACACTTTAATCAATTAATTAGCTAAATTGCGATATTACATGCGGTCGTTTACCCCAAAAAAGTAAACGGAGAAGGCAGCATGAAGGAGAAAAAAGAGGGATCGAATGAAGAGGTGTGTTCGTCGCTCGCGCGTGGGCAGCCACGTACACCACAACGTGGGTCTTTAATGATACGACGACGACTGCCGTCCCCCTTTTGACCTTGAAGGAGCCCTTGAAACACTCCTGACAACCCTTGCTACCCTGTTACATTGCCCTATCCAATCCCCATTCATTTACATGCGCCTCCGTGCAAGGCGACCTTCGGGCTTGGCCGAGCCGAGGAGTGATTTACCTCGCTGCGCTGGCACGTAAAGCAAC